TTTGATCATAAAAAGCAAAGAAAGTTAGTTAAACTTAGGCAAATTTCTAGTATTTCGTCGTATGTAATTAGAACCGAAAAGGCTTAATTTGTTGTTGATCATTTTATTTCATCACTACTTCCGTAATATTGTTGTCTCCGTTATTTTCGATCAATATATTCTTTACATTAAAAAAAAATTGTTTAACATAAAATTGATTTTTCACCGTTTTATTCTATAATAAGCTGATAAGAACCTATTGAAACAGTAAAACACATTATTTGCTGTTTTTCTTAACACATTTGGAATGAAAGCAAATAGTAATGGAACACTATTTCTATCATATTTAGTTCCCTATTTAGGCTTAGATAATTTGTTTTAGTTTGACTAACTGATTGCTGAAAACAAAATGAGTAAAGTTTTACTATATTAGTACAACACAGTGTGATGCAGCTATAGGGAAAGTATTTTTTTTACATAATATAGTGGATTGAGTATAATTTTTTTATTAAACCGATTATAAAACATTAACCAGCATTAATAATTACTTTCGACGAAATCATTTTCTATCAGGGTTGTATTTATTATTTTAGTCTCTCTACTTATTGTAGTTAATATTTCGGAAATGATTAAGATTCCTTAAATGATATGATTTATTTATTTACAATTTTTATTGCATACTTGACAAAAAACATATTTTTTTAATTAACTATCAATTTATTTAATCTCAATAAGTTATTGTTAATATCTAACCAAAGACTCATTAATTAGGTGATTATATTATGTGGAGAAGAAATGGTGTATATAGAGTTGTATCTTAAATCTAAAACCGTTCTTTTTTGGTCGAATTTCTTCGAGATAATTCCTATGTTTCGTATATCACTCGTCCTGATAACTGTGTAAACATTCCAGAAGGTAATACGAGTGGTCACCACAACTTGTAATTGTACAGCGCATATATATATATATATATATATATATATATATATATATATATATATATATAGAGAGAGAGAGAGAGAGAATATGTCATCGAACAATTTAGGCAGCTAGTCAAACTTGTCAAAGCAGGTCAAATATCAAATCAAGATCAATGAATAATGAAACCCAATAGAATAGTACTCCCTCGACTCTATGGTAGGCTGAAAATACTCAGACTAAACATCCCGCTAAATCCATTTGTATCCCTCCCCGGAACCTCAACATACAATTTATAGAGAGAAATTTCAAAAATATTGAAACATTTAGTGGATCTACCCAATCCCTCCATCAAATCTTCCACGCCATTCTCAGATAAGTTTAAAGACATTTGGATCAGCAACGACAAACTGCTAATGTCCTTCGATGTGACATTCTTAGTCACCCTAATTCAACCAAGCTTAGCAAAGGGAACTTTAACCCTGCTTCTTAACAATGATACAAATCTAGCAAAGTACACGAAGCTTCTAAGTGAAAGATTACTAGAACTCAACAATTTATGCTTAACAACATGTTTTCAATTCAACAACAAATGAAAGAAATACCGATGGGATCACCAATATCAGCAGTTATTGCAGAAGCAGTGATGGAAAGGCTTGAAGCCTCGATCGTACCAGTGATCAAGCCAAAACTTTGGATTTCTTATTTGGACTACACAATCATCATCGTCAAAAATGATGAGCTGGAAAACACCTGCAATTTGCTCGACAACGTTTTCGATGACATGAAGTTCAAAATAGAACAAGAGTCAAATAACAAACTACTGTTCTTGGATGTATTAATCCCCAGAACCGACACAAGAAAACTGGAAAGTGGAGCATATCGGAAACCGAATCACACAGATTAAAAAAACAACAAAGCAAACTGCCGTAAACTTTGTTCAAGAAGGCGAGGACACACTGCAACACGCAGCACGGAAAAGATGAACAAAAATATCTAAAGACTATCTTTCAAAAAAACGGCTACCCATTCAACTTCACTAAAAAATATCAACCGAATGCATCAGCAGAAACAAAATTAAGTACCGAAACCAACAAACGGATCATCCAACCGTATATAAAAGGCATATCAGAAATTACAACGAGATTGTTGAGGCCTTTCAGAATAAGTGTAGCACACAAATTAACAAAATCACTTGAATCAATCTCATGCGAACGGAAGGACGGAGTGATAAAAAAAGACAAACCGGACATCATTCAAATGCGAGAAACATTACATAGGACAAAGTGGATGCCCCCTTCATCTTTGCCTACAGAAACACCAACTAGCGGTCAAAATCCATGATTTACGTTTGATCATATCAATAAACATGGAAAATTATAGAGAAACATTTGGCTGAAAAAGTGTTAAAGTCTTGGATAGAAGAAATACTAAAAACACCAAAGAATTTTTAGAAGCTTGACATTCAGGTTAATTAGCAGTCAACAAACAGATCGAAGTCAATCCAATTTATTGACCACTCATGAAAACCATGAACAACTCGAGAACAAAGAACATAATTAAGGGGAGATATAATCAAAATGAAGATACAGACAGTGACAGTTCAAAGGCAAACAATATCCAGTCAAGATCAAGGTCGACAGAACAAGCTGTGAGTCATATATAGAGAAATTCGAATACGTTACTTCTACCTGAAGTTTGTGATGATGATGCTGTACAGAACAACAATGATAACTCCACGACCAAGTCATCCAGCTCAGAGAACAAAATACCACCTAGAAAATTTACCTCAACTCATATTCACTACTGATGACTATACTTAAGTATTTTGTTTAAATAATAAATATTTTAATAAAATGAGGACATTTCAGTGATTATCTTTCATATCACGTTTTTATAGTTTATTTTATTTTGATTACCGTTGGACCATAACGTAACTTTAAGTTTTCAGTGACTTTTAGGCACTAAGATAACAACAAAAACGATTGCACAGCTCTAATAAATGATATCATTAGGAAAAATACTTTATTTGCTGAAATGTCTTCATTTGATTTAGTGATTCAATGAATTTTTTTCGTTTTCAAATATTCTAACCATTTATCGATGGACAGTTAGTTATGATATTTGGTTACTAACTATAAAGTATTCAAGCTAACAGGATCAACAAAAGCTTAGAAACTTGTAATTTTAGTCTTCATTGGTGATCACTTATTTAAGACAATTAGTCCCTTTGATAAATTTCGATAATGATATTAGAAGACGAAGATTATGAGAAATATGTGATATATTAGCGCAATACATTTCGAACAATCTGGTCACACATATACTTGTTAAGAGCATTTATATATAAAAAATAAAAGGTCAACTAGACAGGAAACGGGTTAAGAGGAGATAAGGATAATGATAATAATAATAATAATAATAATAATAATAATAATATTAATGTGAACACAATTTGAAACCTAACCACTCTGGATAATAAGTCAATATTACCAGGGTAGGTTTAAGGTAAGAACAAACGGTTTTTGAACTCACAAAGGGGGTTTGAATTTTCGTATGGCTAAGGCTTCAATAAACCTTAGTATACGCCCTTTTACACTTTTATACAGCACTACAAAAGCTGAATTTAGATCAATCTTGTGACCTGTTTCACTTACATGTTTAGCAATAGAGGATGATGGATGTTTATCCTCTGCTCTTATTGGATCACTCAATTGTATTTGTTTCTGAAGCCATTTGTGTACATGTTCACTCACCCTAATGTTGAGATCACGATTACTCCTCCCTATGTATGTGTGACCACACACACATTTAAATTGGTAAACACAGTGGGATGTGACGCAATCGTTTTCATGTACTTTAGGTTTTGAATGAAGCATACACCTTGTTCTTTCTTTGATGATGACCTTTGCTACGCAATAGGTTTTATTGATGACTGATTTAAGTCGTTGTTTCAATAAAGGGCTATTTGAATCACCTCTGAATGGTAAGGTGATGTAGACAGGCTTTTTCTCTACCGAGGCTACAGTAGGTCTCACTGTACCATGTAGCCTCAGTCCTGGTCCTTATATTACTCTTTACGTCTGTCAACTAGTATAGTGAAAAAATTGATTAAAATTATTCTACAGCGCGGTTACTGTTTACTGTTCAACTAACAAACCTATTTTATTTCTCGACAAAACTTCTTTTTGGTTGAAGGCGTAAATGTCATCTTGATCCTTGTAATGAAAATTAATCTCATTCACTTTTATTGGTTTAATTTTTTTTAAATTGTTAGTATAGAAACTCTTAGGCTTATCAACCGACTTTACGATGCCGCATATATATATATATATATATATATATATATATATATATATATATATATATATATATATATATATATATATATATAAACATGACATCTAAGAAAGAACTTATTACAACACAAGCTAGTATCTCTTTCATATCAAATATCAGTCAAAATTGTTCTCATTCATTTATTCAAATTTAATTAGTTTTATTTGGTTCAACTGACATCTAACCTTTCTGATTTTGTCCATCAATTCTATAGAATTCTATAGAATTCTTATTGAAAATATTTACATGTATTCACATATTTAAATTATTGCACATGTCTGTGTTTTGTTAGCGATCGAAATAAACTTCATAAAGTAAATTCATAAAGTATGATAGATTTTTGTAAATTGACTAGTCTAAATGTTCTTACAAACCCACATATTTAACTTGTAAACCCCTTTAACCTGCATAATTTATCAAAACTGAGAAACTTGATTTGTTCTTATATCCAATCGATTAAATTAACACTGAAACTTTCGAAATGACCCTTAAAATATGACACTACAGTTGTTAACTGAGTTAGCCAGTGTTTGTGCACCTATGTATTTTTGTGCATTTGGTTAGATCGATCGACGTTTACTGGTTATTTGTAGTAATATTCTGTGATAGTAAGAAAGAGCTGTACTGGACGTCTTATAACTAAAACAATTTAAATATTGTGTATCCAAGTGATGAATATAATGATTATGACATTATTCATGAAAATATTGATTGACATTATCCATTATTTTTGAAGTTATTTCTCACTGTTTCTGTTATATCAGAAAACATTGTCTATCGAAAATTACACTCGGCAGAGGAAATCAGAATCATGTCAGAACAACTCAATTAATGAGGATAATTCAATTGATGTAAACCAAGTAGAAGATCCTGAGCTTTCTGAACAAATACGTAAAGAGTTAAGTGATATTTCTGCACGGTTATCAAGTTTATCTTCAAATCCTTCTGTTCCCATTTGGTATCAGTCAGAGGATAATAATGTATCACATGAAATAGGTTAGTTGTTATCATTGGTTCTAGTTTTAAAGTATTTTTATCTTAACTTATTTTTAAACTGAATATTGTAATGAGGTTATTTCTAGCATATGCGTTGATCCGTATTATCTCGAAATATTTGCATGATTGAATCTGAATCTGAAATGTCATCCAAATGGTCGTTCTAATTACCTATCCTATATAACTAATACATTTCAAATACTAGTTGAAAGGTAATTCGTTATACAAAATAAAATTGAGTGAATATAAAATTATTCTATATTTAATGTCCATCATTAAACATGATAAGCCAATTGCAGTTTTTTATGTTATTAAATAAAATTGCAGTGATAAAGATATTTATTTAGAAATATCGATAAACCAGTCAAGTTATACTGTGACATTTTGAATTTCTTTTGTTTAAAGATTGTTGCTTTACAAAAGTTCCTAATTTCCTATTACTATGTAATAAGTAGCAACTCTGTCATGCCCTCCTAACTGCAAAACTATTGATCACCATGTCAGAATTTACAAATTAGAATTTATAAATATTCAGTTTACTGAATACGATAGTCGTTTTTAATTACAATGCATTCTTAAGTAATCCATTTTGGACTAGTTAAATGTTCAGCATCAGAATTGTACTTCGATAAAAGGTGATGAAGTTTATTGTAAAAAACTGACCTCAATTTATGCATTCTTGATATTAACTAGCTATTTGAAATTCTTCCGAAAGTTTTTTTCAAATTCATTTAATTTGAAAAATTCACAGTATCATAAATAATTTATCTGTTTCTGAAATATCGATTTTCAAGGGACAATGAAACACAATAAAAGATACTCATTAAAATTTCCTAAGATATGATATACGCATCACATACTTCCACATTTTATTGCTCCATAGGCTTTCAACGAAGCACACCTTTATCAGACAAAACTATCGCACCACAAGATTCGTTTTCAGAAGTCATCTCAAATAAACAACAGAATTTATTTGTATATAATAAAACTGACTTGACGTCTGATACATCTAATCACCTCAAATATTCAATTAGTCGACTTTCTAACGACGACCAGTTCAAAGTTAATTACAGACATAAAACATTGAATAGAGACAACTTGGATTCACTCAGGAAGCTGAAACGCTATCCAACAGCCGGAAAAAATTCTATAGCAAACAAGAAATATACAAAAACTATTTTTCCTAACAAAAGTTGGATAAAAGTACCTCAAAATTTATTAATTAGTGCTGCTGAGGGTCTACAAGAACTTTTTCGCGATTCATCATCTGATGAATCTCTTGATTGCTCTTTACTAAAATTTGATATTCAAAATTCTACTCAGAACTTAAGTGATAGCAGCAGTAGTACCGAAAGTAGTAAACATACTTACACTATGGAAAGTCCGTCTGAATATTTGGACAGAAAACTGGATCTCGAACAAATGGAGGGAAGTTATCACTCCGCAATTTCTAACAATTCAGCATCTAATTCAGGTGAGTAACTTTACGTAACTTTTATTTTTAATTTCAGTTGTCTATTTCACTCAAAAATATGGCTTTAAATATTTCATTTAAACATTTGAAATTTATTTTACTGCCGTTCAATGAGCATTTAGATAAAATTTTATGGGTTACTTTCTGTTGGTGATGGGCTAAGTAATGTACAGACACTATAATCTTTTTATTCTTTTTAGTTAAAAATTCTTGTCTTCGAAAGGACCCGAAATCGTTTCTTTTATCATTTATTAATGATCAATTCCACGACACGTGAAACACTAGATTTTTTGAGGTCATTTTACATCCTATTTACTTTAGATTTTCGATCGGATTTCAATATGTATTAAGTTAGTGAATTATGTGTTTCTGGATATCGCGAGAGCGATTGTATGTGATATATCCAATCTATTAAAAAATAGAAATTTGAAGTAGACATCTGATACAATTAAACATGATATTTTGCATTTTACGTAAATGTAAGATTAAACTAAGATGCTTGATAATTTTGTTTCGAATTTATCTACTTTACCAAATACATTTTCAGTTTCTTGAAAATAGTTTAATCTCATTTTCACGATAGGTTCGCGTATTCATGAAACAACTGACTATTCAACTAGTAATGGAACTTTCACTAGACCCCGCCTACCTCATTCTGTTGTTCCGAATGCAGATTTGTACCTGAAGACTAATAGTAATAATTGTGGTTCAACCAAAGAAAAGTCATCAAATCATCCTTTAAAAATGAATGACTTATTATCACTTCAAGAATTGGACGATTATTTGTTTGATACACAAAAATTAGTTACAGTATGTTTTAAACAGTCTTGTTAAATAACTATTTATGAATATTTTTTATTGTTACTGTAATGGTTACAACACAATGATCAATCTGTATAAAAAAAGAATTTCATCCGGTCAAAACATGAATGATTATAAAATATATACTAATATGCAAGAAATGTATCTAAAAATGCGAAAATCTTTATCAAGGAGAAGGTTAGTAACTTTATACCAAACGGTGAATTAGTTTAATGGAGGTTTATCACCAATGCACCAGAAAAAATTCAAAGTAAGATTTCCCAATTAACTAAATAAATATGACTACAAGGCTTTAGAGGCTGATACGTTATTTGCTTTTTGTGACTGCGGTTTTATCGTACAGTGATGCTATGAACATAAATCTTCAATTTAATTCAACATATTACTTGGGCGAACCCCGTTTGTGTGACAGCGGTAATAAGAAGCCAAATACAGGTTGCAATGGATGAATTTATTTCCAGCACTCGTTTATCCAGATAGACATTCTGAAAGAAAAGCGAGTAAACAAAGCGGAGCGGAGAAGGCGAGTTAAAAATCAGGAAATTGACCTGTCCAGAATCTAGAATAACCTATGTCGGTTTGACATGATACTAGACACTATAAGCTGTATACATGATTTATAATTGTATAAACCATGTATCATTTGTCTTGACAACATTAGGTAGATTGTTTGAAAGCTACCAAGTTATGACAGCAGAGCTATTATTGTTCAACGATTTCTAAGGTCGTTATTATAACTTGTGGCCTTGGGTCCTATTAATATATAACGTAATCATAACACCAATTAGAGAACTGTGAATTATCGACCGGAACAATGACGCGTAAACCCGTACAAACTGTTTACAGTCCTTATCCGTTCTTCTTCCTATCTAATCCAGAACACCAATCTCAGCCTCCGTGATTTGAATCATGTATTTTAAACATACTGGGTTTATATACATACCAAACAGATCACATTATACCATAAAATGGAAAATAACATTTGTACAAGAACCTAGCCAAAAGTGATTGTGAATATAGGGTACTGTAATTAATAACTGGGCATAACTCAAGAACAGTAAATCATATAATAATAGTTTATAGGTCAAAGTAAAGCTTGAATAGTTTTACATTAAGAATATACGTATAATATTTGTCCATAAATAGTTCTCAAAATTAAATCAATCTATCAGACAGAATAAATAAACCACAGAAATTTGCACGAACCTTATAATACAGACAAGGTCATCATTTAAAATATTTGCATGTAAATTCAGTACTTGAATACTATTCAGTCCGGACTGAAAAAAATCGACCTACGATTACAGCATGTCCTATAAATCCTACTTATTTATGAATACGTAATTAAACAGTGTCCTTCTCAATCTATTATTTAACATGTTTATTCATGGACTACACTTATCGCATATAAATAAATAGTTTACATAATGTACTCATTGTTTTTTAAATTTATTTTATCCCAACCCGCTTAAACGGAAACCACTAGCAACTTGAGCAAAAAATGGCAAATGATAAGTCTGAAAAGGCGATTTCTCAAAAACAGCTGACTGTTAAACAGAATGAGATGATCTGCTCCGCTGAAGATTACGAAGTAGCGAAAGCATTAAGCAATGCTGATCAACTGCTTGGATCAACTGTTAATAAGCGTTTGTCAGCCATTCTCCAACGACGACAAGACAGACAAAAAGCTTACACCTCAGGTTTGGAACAGGCAAAAAAGATGCTGAATGGATTTAATGGGATTCCTGAAGAGAAGATTAACAGGTCACGTAGAACAGCTCAGTCTGTGGTGGCATCTCGACCACAATCTCAGCAACCAACGTCTCGATGTACGAAAAACTCTCATGCACCTCCTTGTGACCAACCTTCCGTACCGTTGAGAAATGCATCCGAGACGCGTCGTAATCACTCCAAGTGAGCTTTAAATTTCATTCCTAAAATGGTGTTTATTTCAGTATAATTAATAATACATTTCTTTTCGTAAAATTTTTAAACTAAATTTCTTCTAAAATTTTAAGTGTTGCTTCTAGGAAATTGATTAAATATATAAAATAAACTGTTTATTAGATGGAAAACATTTTGGAAAAGGTTATATAGAACTAAGGTTCGCACTCTCTTTAGTGTATTATCTGCATCATTTTCATGGTTTTGTTTCTATCATTCAAAAATCTAGTTAAATCCAATATTTGCATTAATAGGCTTAAGAGTTTGGACTAAATTCATCATAAATGTTTTTTTGAAAATTCAGCACAAACGAAGACAACTGTCAAGAACACTTCATCAAGGTGCTCTTGGAACTATGGTCGGGACATTCCCATGTTATGATGTAATGAATATTCATACATTACTAGAAAGACGTCGATCATTCGTTTATCTCCTTTATATTTTGATGTATGCTACAGATCCCAGAGTTGCCTGAAAACACAACAGAGTCCTTCATCATTAGGAAGCGAGAATGATTCGACATGAAAAATGACGATAATAACTGGAAGAAGAAATTATAAATCTAGATCAACATCATTTCAGACATTTTCTTACGGAAACTGACTTCCTTTAAGGAATAATTTATTTTCAGTCAAACTCAATGATTTCTGCAGTGAATCTATTTTACTGAAGATCCTTTAATCATAACGCATTACAGGAGGGTCTTTGGTTTGATCAGTTCCATATATTACATCGATATCTGATTTAGATATTAATGTGAATCAGTGTTTGGTAGACTGATAGATTCATTTGGTACGCGATAAGGCTTTGAATTTATGACGACAAATAAATCATTTAGTAAACGTGGCAACATTTTGACATTTTTGTCATGTTTTTAAATATTTATTCATCCGAGTGAAAAAACACTCCCACTGTTTTCAATTTCGAATAATCCAGTCTCTGTTTGGAATACTGTAATGTAGAAAAAAACCCAAATGTTTGTTGGAAATAACTGGTGTGTCTAGGTTCCATATATAACTCGTTATTTGTCGCTATAGAGACAAAGCACTAGAGTACTTTGTTTCTCATTTTTCTGCTAAATTAACAATATTTGTAATTAAAATGAAGCTGTTCTCAAAATCTTCGGAAAAATAAAAAAAATTATATACTGTTAAATAGTTAAATGATTGTTCTTTTTTTTATTATCAAGAACTGTTAATTAAGTCATTACTTTGTGTATAAAAGTTAAGGTCCCATTGATCTAACAGGTTTTTCAGTAACACTATTAAATTTGAAATGAGTTTTAGTCAAGTAGGTTTATTATGAATTGATTTCAATCCATCAATTGGAATTTATGCTGTTTAAAATAATTAGCCTGGATCACCACTTATTATGAGAATAGGTTATTATACTATGTTAGGCAGAAAACGAATCGTTTTTTTAGTTATTTCATTAAATTTTTGTTTTATGGGACAACTTTAATTAGTCAGCTGCTCAGTAAAATATTATAAGTGATTATTGAACTACTTAACTCATTTTATGAATGAACATAGTGAATAAATAATGTTTTATTGACATTTTACTTAATCAAAAAGATCATTCTTATTTGAAAGTATTTTAAAATGTTTGTTCAATTTTACTTACAATAGATTATCGCATAATTCATCCAACTTTCCAATCTCGGTAGAAAAATCTACAAAATCGTTCTTTTCTCAGAAAACAGTCAGTATTGATCGTTATGGTATTTCCCATAATCACTCATCAATCTCATCTACACCTGAAAGTTCAAGACATCTAGGCGTTGATGCTATAAAAACAAGCAAAATGTTAGCTGCTCTCAACTGGCAACGTCGTAAATCCTATGATCCAAAACAGTTTCTTAATAAATCAAGTGGAAATTCTACAGGTTTATTATACTGCTATATTTTATTTTATAACATATTTTTGTGATCTGTTGAAGTATATTGTTCAGTTATTAGATAAGATCTCTTTAGATTTATGGCATAATGATTACAAAACTCGAAGTTTAGTCTGTTCTTTAAAGTCTTAATTCCCGTCCTCTGACTTTCATTTGTACTGCTGAATAGACCCTTTGGCTTCCTCCACTTGTAAATAGGTTATTTTTGTGCATAATGATTATATATGATTGCTAACTGTTACCTTGAGTATTTTGTTTAACACAATTATTTTTCATATAAATCCGTAAGCTATTTAATATTTGAGGATTTATCTCTTATCTGAAATAGAATAGTTGACTCTTTACTGAAAAATGTCCAAATACATCGTTTGTGTTCCCTTGTGTTGTGAAAGCATTTCTCTAAATACTGTAACAGAAGTAAATTACATTGTTCCAACTTATAAATAAACAAACCGACAACTATAATAATTAAAAGGATATACCATTGAAAGTTTACTCATCAACTACCATGGAACTGTCAACAGTTCACTTTCTGGTTATTAGTTCTGACTAAATTCTATCAATCGTTTCGAGCGTTACCATCAATCTAAATAATTATAGAAAAGTTTGTCTTACGAATATCGTTTGATAGTTTGAGGTGTTTGGTGAGTGGCTTCTCGTTATAAATGTCTTATGCTAATGTTAACTTAACGACATTCTCTATCAGAATTTTTACGGAGATTTATTCCAATTGAAACCTTGAGCTGTTATATTCTAATACGATTAATTACTACTCTGAATAAACTAATTCCCCCCAATTTTCAGATATGATATTTGGATTGGTGACTATAGGTCATTCAAAGTCCTGTGTTGATCATAACCAAGCATTTGGTATTGTTGTTTGTTTTTTGACTCAGAAATAATATTTATACGAAAATGTAAACCAATCAAGGCAATATGAGTCAATAATCACAATGAAATAGAATAAGTCTCTACACATGATAGGTAAAAGTAAAAGTTGATAGTAGGAAGACAGGTGAACTGATTGGTTTACATTTTCGTATAAATATTCATGTATATTAGCGTAAAGCCTGATGACGATCTAATTGAAAACAATTGTTCGCTTATATGTGTTGTTCTAATTTTCACAATGGGAATCTTTAATATTCAGAAATAATATGCAGTTCATAACAACAATTCTTTTTCCAAGCATCAAGACCTGATGTATGACTGTCTAGTATGTTTTGCGTCTGAATTATATTTCATTAAACTAGTTGCTGCAAACTTTGGTATACCTATTTTTAAATTTATAATACTACTGTATTTAAAAAGTTCCCGGTAGCTTATTTTGGAATAGTAGAAAACATTGTATTTGCAGTTTGAAATTATCTCGCATTTATCATGGTAACTCAACTTAATTGTAACTTGAAGACGTTCTTCATAAAATAAAGAAAGACCTACTGTTTTATATGCGAAGTTGCCAGTTTACTTTTTTAAATTTTCATGTCAGTGGGTACAAATGAATTATCTTATCTGAATTTGTTAACTCTTTGCAAAATTAAATGGAATAAAAATAAAAACTGTAGCAGACTATTATATTTTTATTTCACGAATTATTCATGAATGCTTACTACTTATTATTCACATGTATAGGTTGTTTGACAAAAAACAGGATGTGTGTACTTTTGTCCTCTTTACTTAGGAGTATTCATCGATGTAGATAATGACAAATTTAGAATAACCAAGGGTGATAAATGTAAGACGTTTTACGTGATCGATTATCTGTAGAGGATTTCAGCTGATTGTATCGAGCTGACTTATATCAAATAAAGAGCACCACAACGTTATATAATTTACATTTGTGATTATATCAGAAACTTGATTTAAAGATCAGGTTATATGATACTACTTACTGTTCAGCTACCGTTTGTCGGAACTTAATATTTCCAATTATCTTTTAACTGATCAATTACTTATTCTTCCTTTCAAATGAGCTTAATGCTTTGAGATTTAATTAAATTTAGTAGTGAGTTTAAAAGGACATCAATACTTTTGATTGTGGTTTTTAAAAAATCATGCTTTATTGGTACTACCATAATCAAAAAAAGTACTCAGAATTAAAGACAATAAATTACAGAGTTAATAAGTTTTAACCAAATTTTAAACTTTGACTTCATTGGTTAGGTTAACTTATAATGTAACTGTTTATTTGTCAATTTAAAAAAGTTATTGAATGGATACGAAAGAAATTTTAAAAAAAATACTCTATGTTTGAAATGTATTCAAAATTGTGACTAAAACTATTTATTTAACTTTTATAAGAATTTAAAATGAATACTGAATTGCGTTTAAAGTAATGAAATAAAACCTAGAAGTTTAATATATTCCATTCAATCACATTCACTAAAGATATTCAGGAATAATCAAATGAATTGATAAGTTAAGTCACTAATTAGATACATTATGATAAGATTGTATGATAATATAAGCTAATGTTTTTAAACAAGTCAGAGTTAATTAACTATATATTAAGCGTGAATCCATGTCTGAACAGTTTGGCTCCCTCGGTATTTGTCGTTTTCATGTAATTAAATTAAATTGATTGCGATCAAAAGTTATCCAGTTCGTGCGAAATAAGAAACAGGAAGGAGATTTGTGTTGATTTCTTTGAGTTGGTAGTATTTAGATCATAAGATTTATGTGCTCAAGACAGATTTGAGACATAAATTTTCAATATTGAAATGAACTGGACCTGCTCGCTGATCCACATGAAGTCATTTAAAATTATTCTTAGAGTTTATTTATTTTTGAATTCCTTTATCAAACGACAGTTTATTTTGTGTACTTGAGCGACCAACATCATTTTAAGATGAATAAAGTTTAATATTAAGTTTAAAAACGAACATCGAATGATGTTCCCTTTATTATTAAACATTTATATTGCATGACGTTACGTTTATTTTCTGCCTACATTTATTAACAATGAGTTTACTAACACCATTTACTATAAATGACGAAATTATCAGAATCCTATGTAATATTCTCACCCATTTCCAAAGCTACTAATCAAAACACCATTACCCGTTAAGCACCATATGTAATGCTGTTGTTCAGACATTAAGATTCATATACAATATTTGACAGTAATGTCGAAATATGGACTTGATCTTGTTACTTATATCGCAAATAGAGAATAAAGAAAACCGTATTTCACCCTCACACTTAAGTTCCTATCTCAGTATTAAAAAAATAGTTGATTTCTAAATGAAACTAAGATAACTTTAGTATCCAGACCGATTCTAGGATACAGATATAATGTATGAAGGTTACTGATTGACATTATACTGCCACTTTGGTTTTGCCTCGACTAAATTAATTTTTCTGCCTTTGATATACTTACTCTGTCACTAAAAACAAACATTTTTGAAATTCTATCCAAAGTTGACTGAATGTTCTACAATATTGTTGCATTCTTCAACTTCTGTCTCAAGGTGGAAATGATAGCTCACGAAGTTACAAAATTTTTACGCTTGTACTAATATAAAACTTATGACGATTTTGATTGGTGAGCTACTATTCGTTCACAGAGTGTATGTTGAATAGAATCAATCTAGATTTTACTTTATTATTTTCAACTAGCTCGTTCACAAAGTCGGCCGCCAAGGGACGATGATATAATGAGTATATCTACAGATAGCAATCCCAAAAGTTGTATCACTAGCCATTCTGTTCACCCAAAGCATAAATTAACTGTTACTACCCGTCGGACAGCACCTGTAGATACAGCCGACTGTATAGCAGCGATGGAGATTGTTAAACAAATAAAACTCAATAATACGTCAAAAGGTGTTGTCGACTATTGCAACAAAAAAACTGACCACTGTGTAAATGATTCAAATCGCAAAAGATTGACAGGTCAACATAATCAAGAATTTGGCGAAATCGAGTCAAAACTGACCACTTCAGGCGGAAAGTCTAATGCATTTGAATCTCGTTCGAAGACAAAGCAAACCAGCAAAAATAATTCGGTTTTTGATGGATCTAAACATTCTATTCGGCATCAAAACTCGAATGAAAATGTAAGTTATTGATAAAAATCTATCCGTATTTACCAATTATTATTTTACTATTGGATTTTGATGTTCTTACATTGTTTCTCCCTGCCTTATATCCCTCTAAAAACCTGTAATGGAATTATTTAAACTTAACCTACAATTTTAGAGAATAATGTGCCTTATAAAACTAGTCACATTAGTTTTTCACAATTTCCAGTCAAAGCTAAGTGAATCATTCTATCTGGTAACGTATAGAAACAGACGTAGATAATGGAATCATTTTATTCACTAATTCTTTGGTTTTTTGTTCATAGACAGTTACATTATTTAAATTTCATACGACTTAAATACATCTTAATTAATTCTTTTATTGATGTGTTTAAAAACATGTTTATTGTTAAGAATGAGTCACTAGTGTAAACACTAAATAAAACTTTAAGAAAAATGAATAAAATTACTTAGAAAATCATTAGTTTCGCTTAAATTCTGTTTCCGAATACATTTTTTCAGATTCTTGGGAATATATATTATTTATGGTAAGCTCTAATTGTTCAAACGGTAAAATTGTACATCCAATTAAATTAAACGTGTTTCGTTTTTAGTTAGATGAATATATTGCATGCACAGAGTGTTCATACTACTTGTCATTCGACTACATTCCTCCGTGTAATGACCTTGAATATCCAGTTAGAACGTAAATAATCTCATAACCAAATCAAAATTGTTAGGTTTCAACGCTAATAAAAATGTAAAGACGACAAATGCGGAATTATTGTACCGTTTTGAATAAACAAGTTTTCAACAGTTTTATTTATATCAATTTTGAATAAATAAAACTGAGTGACACCCGTCACTGATTAATTTATAACCTCCGATGTGAACATTGTTTACAAATATCTCAAGATCGAAATTCTGCAATTAACATGTAAAATTGATTGATTGAGTTATATGTTAATTTCTTCCAAACATCTGTGATTATAAACATTACAAACTTTTCTGGCAAATGTTACGTTTTCGTAAACGATTACTTCATTATAAATTGAATTAAGGACATTTAGTTACTTTTTTATATGGAAATATTAAGCATTATTTCTTGGTGTGTTATGAATTTTTTGTTCATTGTCAGAAAACTGTAAATAAACAATTTCCATCTGTTGTCACTGCTCGTTTACCTACACACCAACAAAGGCCCAATGGTCATACTACAGTAAGAATAGCTTCTCAGTCATGCACCCGTGAATGGAATTATGCCGATCAATCAAATTCCCCTAAAGTGATCTCTACTGAATCTACTGATAAGAATAAAACTCCTAATCAAGATGAGGTGGTATGTTTGCAGAGATTTTATTTAAATGATTCCATCTACAAATTTTTTTAATGTTGAATGAATATTTTATTTTAAACATCAGGTACATGAAACCCGATCATTTTTGTTTTAGCCGGCAGTCATCACACACTTAATGTTTTAAAACTATCGGATGACCTTCTGGAAACAAATGTTTTTCTCAATTAAATATTAAGTACATCGGTGATCTGTGCCAACAAAGGCAGGCCTTTAACTGTTATTTCGCACTAAATCTATCTACCGATGTTATTAATTCAGCGAACTGTCTGATTAATGATAAGTCATTTGACCAGTTAGTTAGAATGAAAACTAAAATATAACTAAATCGAATAATTTATTCAACGAAAGAATCTGTTTCAAGCAGTTCATTTTCAAAGCTATACAGTCTCAAATGTTTATGATGATCTATAGGTCAATGAGTAATTATGTCTGTTGGAATTCGATTAGTTGACAAATTAAATTTGAAAACATCAATTTAAACAAATAAATAGTTATTGGAAGAGCAAATTCACGAAGCATTAGAAATATATAATTAACAGATTAAAACGTACTGCTTTGAATATCGTCAATTTGAAATGAAAATATGTGATTGGTAATCAATAAATCTGGACAGAAACAAACTGTGTATTGGTAATAATGATAGCAAATTACAGTAAGTTAAAATCATTTTATGAAGGTAGGAGCAAAAATGAAAAAAGTGAGGAAACAGTTAAATAAGCAAGTAAGACTGCAAACTAGAAGCCTCGTAAAGAAAGAGATCTTACAGATTTTTATGAATACCTCACCTTTCAAATAACGGAAAGTCAGGTCTTCTAAAATGTAAAGCAGACTAAGGTGTACACTGCTTGGTAACATCGACTAAATTTTGTAATAATACCAAGTGATGAGTCACAGAATGAATGTGTGATGTCTGATGCATGTTTCGGGATTGCTGGCCTTTGTTAAGTCGAAACCGGTAGATGCTTCCGACGACAACCAACGAAATTACAGCAGATACAATTATTCATTCACCTATAATTCACCAAATCTATACGCGATTCCACAGTCTTGAAAATGAACTCACTGAAACGGATTCTTTCGCTGAATAAACGATTTAATGGGTGTATATATTTAAATTAAACTGTTATACTGAGAAATTTCAACTCTCGACAAAATATCGTGTTTGGGCATTTTTTTTTCATTCTTCAAATTAAGTAGTCATCAGTCTGAAATTAAATTGTAATGTGGTCACTTACTCTTTGATGAAGAATAATGCAATAGCTGATATCAAAAGCAAGATGTACAGTGAATAAACCTCTGTTCTTAGCAGTAATTTTGATTCTGTGTACATTCATATTTCTAACCATCAAATTCCCATTGGATTAACCTGCACCAGTAAACATCTCATATAACAGTCTTCCTATAGAAAACAGTACTCTAATATTGACAGTGTTCGGTGCAAATTTAAAAAGTTTACATAAACCACATATCTAGATAATAATTGTGCCATAAATAGTGATTGGCTTCAAGATAAAAATCCCGAGATCCGATTAAAAAAACAGTTACAATTAATGGTAAATCATTAACTTAATGTGACAGTTATAAATCAGTTCGATTAGATAATCGTCATTTTACATAACCTTTTGAATGAAGTTTGAAAATGGGATCAATGAGTCTTAACTTTGAAAAGTTGCTTACTACAAGACTTGGTAGTCATGGGTTTTATTTTACTTTGTTGACTACCACAGATTGATCCAAAACCTAGACGAAATACGTGTAAAATGTCTCCTATTTTTATCTATTCTCTATTTGATACCACGGTGTAATAGTAAATCTAATTGATTAGAACCCACACATAACATCTAACCGATGGAAATCTAGTCTTCTGTCACTTTGAAATATCCTTTGGTTATTCATTTATAGCTTCAAGCGAGTCAAGTAGTTTCTGATCTTATTTTACGTTTATTGTTAAACGAAGCATTCAGTGAAGACTTTGTTCAGATCCAGTCAATTATCTTCGTCTGTTGAAACAGTATACAAATACACTGTATGTATTATCAATTTTTTAATGGTGGACTGCCAGTTTATTAACGATTGCATATTTTTAGAAAAGGTTTAATCATAATCATATCGTATAGATGACGAGTATATAACGTAAAATAACTCATCTGTTTTTTTTAGAATTATCCTGACATTGCAGTTGAATCAGTCAAATTTAAAATAGAGAAACTAACAAATTTCATTGTTCGGTTACGAAAACGAATTGAGTAAGTTTATCATAGCTTTAATAAATATTTGTTTTTTGTGAATTAATTAAACATGGACTTTACAAAATGATGCTTACAATATTTAGTATGAATAGTCTCATCCTCACTTGTAGGAAACTTTTTTAACTTACTTGTAAACGAAGAAACCATAATTGAATGAAAACTTGTTTCTTCCACATTGAACATGGTTAATTAATCAGTTAATCATACAGCATCTATGACCTAATTCATGCTTTCTCATAGGTTTATTTCGGTAAATAATATTGAAACAGGAATAAACATTCATCACCTGTAAGGGTACTACTTAATTCACCCCTTCAATATTATTTTAGATTTACTATACCCTATACATATTTAAAGAAACTGTCAACATAAAATTATGCATAAACCATGGGTTCACTGGTTATTAACTCATTTCAAATTCATAAGTATATTCATAGGTAGTAGAAAATAAGCGCCATTGAATACACAACTATACCTGTGATATAAATAGTGTTAGTAGTATGGTTTCAAGGGTAGAATTTGTACTTGTAACTTATTTGTTGTAACCAGTGTAATGGTCTTCACTCATTTCATTGAAGAATCTGCCAAAATTGTTACGTTTTTATTTGTTTTCAGTGTTCAGCCTAGCAATGATTTTCAAACATTTTATAAAGGTATATGAATACATACAGTTTGTAGTCAGTTAAAATAAATTCATAACAAAGTTTGTTGTAATATTTTTCCAGTCGTAAAGCAGTATCATAAAAGTTTTAGCAACCTGACTTTATTTTCGTGATCTTTATTAAACTGGGTTACAATGTCTCGGTATTATCACCAAATAAAGTAAGCTGTAAATCTGATCTATGCATTCTAGCAAGTTCATCAAGTACAATAATTTCGAATACCATAGTTTTAAAACCGACCTAATGCAGTAAATAGTCGCTACATTCTTCTGATTAGTAGACCTCTTTTCAGTATAAAAACGTATTTTTAATGTTATTAACATGTACAGATTTATAATTCCATTATGAAACTTCTCTAATCTTTTGAATACCACTTATACTACTTAATTGAATAAGCTTATGAATTTGAAGTAACCATTGTTCCTAAGGCCATTTGTTAGAGATGAATCTCTAAAATAAAACTTACAATAAAAGCTAATTCGTACTTATCGATTTGTATCATTTGAATTTCTATTAGTTCCTAATTCCTAAGAATATTCTCCATGACAAATCAGTTTTGTAAAAAATTGACTACAAATACAGAAATCATAAATAATTCTTCATAACTATATAACCGTTTACACCCTAAAGAATCAAATCTGAAATGCTTTCACAAAACATACTCCAGTTATGTGATTGTTAGGCTCACCAATAATTTAGTCTTTTATGTTAAGTTAATACGAATCATTTATTTTGACAGGCTTCTAGTATTTATTTTTCTTGACTAATAACTCTAATGGGCATTTGATATCAAATATTCTATTCAGTTATTTTCCTCTTAGTAATTACGCACGAAAACAATATAACTTAGTTATAATTAGTTCTTAAAACTTTGTTCATCAATTTCTTTTACTACTCAAACTAAAAAGCATCTGACAAGGTGAAGAATATTCTCTGGTAAAAAAAAGTTTTGAAAATATTCTGATTAGTTATTAAAACAAAAAAAATTTATTGAATAAGTCAACATGTCTTAAAATAAAACATCAAGTAACCAGCATGCCCAATCTTATATTATTTAAAACATTTTAGTCATAATTAATTGTTATACGTCTATTTCCATTTCGATAAATTAATGATTCTCTATAGGCAGAAAAAAATTAATGCTTTTGTTCATACTCAATATTTTATAATTGTAAAATAGTCACGTTATCATTTAAAATTGTGTTTGTTTTTTTCTTGCATTCATATATTAGTTATTATTTTAACTAAAGGTTAATAAAACCTTCAAACATTTCTTGACCTGATATTAATCAAAATAATAATATCTTTATGATTATGACCTTAGTTTTTATATGCTAATTTTTTTTTAAAACTAAATTTGTTACGTAAGTAACTTGAATAAAGATAAACTTAAGGAATCTTAAATTATTGGTTTTAAAAGTCAAATATTTGGGACTCTTGGAACTAATCATACTGTAACTAAGTAAATGTTTCATCCAATTTATATTTAAAAAATAAACGTTTTTTTTTAAAAGATGCACAAACTTTATGACTCACTTAAACGCCTTCAGTAATCTTCTATGAATAGCTTTGATAAATGTTAGATGATTAGAAGAAACTATCAACAGTTGATCGGTCTAGGTTTCGTATAAGCTACCCTTCATCAACAATGGATATTTATACCCTTACGAGAATTGTTGCTGCCTGTGAACTTCTAACTTGGTTCACCTAGTGCCACAGTCAGAGACATCACGGTTGAGTTGCTCGGGCCACAACTGACTTCCTGAACGACTGTCATCTTTATGATGATTGAGCGTTAATCACCGTCGTGATTATGTAGTTCTTAGTCCTAATTAGATTTTATTCGTCATTCTGTAACTTGACCATTAGTTTGAGTGACCTGTTAACTATATGTGGATAAAACCATGGACACCAACAATAAAATAAGTTGCATTTAAGCGGTTTGGCCACAAATATTCTGATGATTTTGTATCCAAATGGTCATTTTTGCAGCTGTAGTATAGCTGTAGTTCCTTTAACAGTGTGACACCAAACCCTAGGAACCGATTAGGAACATCTCCCATCATATAAAACTAAATTAACTGACCCAACTCCCTTCATGAAAATCAGCGTTATTCATTCTTGCATTTCTAAGCATCACTTTCAACTATTCGAACCATGTACGTAAAACTTACAAGTAATTTTCTATCTTATTCAATGTTATAATTTAATTATGTTTGTACTGTTTATTTCTTATTAGGCGTGACTATGCAGAACATGGTACTTGTTCACCAGGTGATGATGTTTTTGGTGATGAAGCTGTAGGGGCTGTTGTTGCAGGTAGACCAACGGGAATGCATCCTGTCGTTGCAACGTGTCTTCAGAATCTACGCATACTTGAAGTAAATGCTCAAGGTAGGTTGATTTATGGGAAAATACGTTGCGACAACACCCAAACGATAGCAATAAGTTTGTCATGAGCATATAATTTCATTTGCTATATATAGTCTGTTTCAATTAGATAACTGATCAAAATAGTTCAATCAACCAAGTGATTAATATTTTCTTTAGCTTAAAACGTCAAGTACACGCCTGGTTCAAAATTTTTATCTTATTTTGATTTAAGATAACGAAAATTTAGATAAAAAAAATTATTAATTAATCATGCTTTTCAAAGTCTTTAATGTAAGTACAATTAGGCTTTTAGTTTCCATATCATGAGCATTATTCTTATGTACTATTTTAAAATTTGAACTAAACGTAATCAGTTTATTTGACATATTGGCCTCTAACAAAGCTTTAACACAATATTTTTCAAATACCAAACTACCCTAATTTTCCAAGACCCTTGACTGACTTCATATACATCAATTCTCCTCATTTCCATTTGTTAAATTCTGCAAAAGGTTTATTTCAAAATATTTAAGGCCTGATGTTTTCTTATTTTTTTGTAAAGACCAGATTTTAATTTTACAGAAAATTATGACCTGGGCATTGATATAGATCTATAGGAGGTATGGAAACAAACTCAGTCAGTCAGCCGTGAATTGCCATCAAAAATTCGGTATGTGGTGACATGACTGAATAAAACAAGGTATACTTTTGCGGACTGATACTATTCTAGTTTCTCTAAAACTTATTCCGATCGAATTTCATCGTAATGATACGAAGTAGGCAAACATTAGGACAGATATTCTCCAAACTTAATTAGTCATGCTTCATGACAGTAAACTACGTTAAAAGTAGCATCAAAAAACCTCTTTATCTTTGATGAGACTCAGTCGGCTACTCATTCATCAGAACTGATAAGATCCAAACTGCTTATTTTATCCATATTTCGAGAAATGGACGTTAGATAATGGGACGATGAAATACTAAAATATGGTAAGCTTTTCCAGTGACCTAAATGTGTACGACATACACAAAAATACATCGTATTTAAGCAAGATATATTCGTTGCTTCATAATTACTTTAACTACCACTGATATAGTTTTACTTACAAATAATTTATATATTTTCTCTCATATTATATAATCATTTACTTAATTATTTGTCTTTATAACTTATTTATAGAAATATTTAGTCTACTTTATCCAAATGAAGTCGATTTTTGGGAACCAGCTAGAGTATGTTTACTAGAAGGTAAAGATGATGAAAAGCTTTTCAATGATGCACGTAGTCAAATTACTGAACATTTATCTAGTTCTATTGAAACATCAGGAAAACCTATAGAAAATACCGGTACTGTTCAATGTAAAATTTCTAGTCCTTTAGATTGCCTTTCTGATAAACTTGAAATTACCAAAGAATTAGATACACTAGGTGATGCAGATTTAATATGAATAAAACTATTTTGCCAGTATTTAATAATTATTTCTGTTCGTTTTCAATCTTTCGATTAATCATTTCAACTACAAATTCTTCTTTGAGTCTTATTAGATTTATTATATATTGTATTAACATAATTTCTTTTTAAAAGAGTTTTGAATACAATCCAACTCAAAGATGAAATTAGTTGTGATTCTTTAATGTATATTGTAAATTGAATATTTATACTTATTTACTAATATCAGAAGTCGATCATTTTCGGTTTACTAGGTTATTTTTCACACAAATCAAATAATCAACTTGGATAAACAAGATACCTGATGTTAAAAATTACTTATGGAAAATAAATATTATTATTATTAGGTTTTATTTAATGATGTTGATGATGATGATATAATTCTACAATCAATCAAGTGGATATATGTACATACTATTTAGTTATAATTTCTGCTTATTTTTTGTTATCATCTTTAACCATTTCTACAATCATTGTCTTCCTTCTTTTCTGTTCTATCACATTATTTTTGAAATGAATATTTTGTGATCTATTAATGTGATCGGTAGTTGATTGAATAATATTTTTTTTCAATTTCAGTAAGGTTTGATGGAACATTTTTTTTTCATTAGAGTTGAAAAGACAGAAATATTTACGAAAATTCAATGTCTTTTAAATATCATGAATAAATTAAAAATATTATCTGGAAAAAAAAACACACACTTACTTTGAATTTCAATGAATTATGTAGCAATGAGAATGACAAATTTATCGATAATATTTTTGGTAAATAAATTACATGCATATTTCCTTAATATGTTTCATTATAAGCTGATCGAATTCTGTAATTATCAATGGTTATTGTGTAATTTCCTGTAGGAATGGATCAATACATAAAGGAAATTACAATTATGAACCTATAGCACAAAATATAAATTCTTTATAATGTGAATTACTTAAGAAAACATTTTAACGTTTATCGTTCTGTGTCTAGTTTGTTCTTAATTGAGAATGATAATTTTTGACTGATCTTATCACTAAAATCAACATTTAATAAATCAATTTCAGAAGAACATTTTTTTCCCATAATAATTATGAATACCATGTATGCATTTATATTTGTATACAAGATGGCTAAATATATGAATAGAGAGATTTGTTTACTAAAAAAAATAATCGCCTGGAATTCTACGAAGTTTAGGAAGATGATATGTTGGGGCTGACTTAAATTTACAACTATTTTTATTGTGATTGTTGGAACTTTATTATAATGGTGACATGGTTGTATCACGTAACTAAAACGTATTCCAAATGAATACTATGTCTTGTAAAATATTATGTATGGTATGGTGTTTACCTTTTCCAATATTTTCACTTGAAATAGAAGAGCCCTCATAAAATCTCATCCTTTTTTCTATTATGCATAATCTTTTCAGCGTTGAAGTGTTGCTGTGCATTAGTTGTCAATATATCTAACGAGAAAATCATATTTAGGGTATTACCGTCATTCCTATTTTAGATACTACTTTATGGTCAGTCAGTAGAATTTTTCTAGTTGTATTATTCAAATGTTTAATTATACTGCTTATTTTAATAAATTATTTACTCTTTCCCAGTTACTTTTATGTTGTTAATCAGTAAACTACCAGACTATACTGAGTTTAACATGGCTATCTTTGACGAACCAATTTTTTAAGGTCTAACTGCAAGAATATACCACCTCCATAGCATTGGTAGTCATTCGATATGATGAAATCTTATGATTTAAACAGTAGTTGTAGGTGCAGCTGGTAATTCGGAAACATTTATGCGTCTAAGAAGCAAACAGTGTATCGTCGTTTTTAAATCTAAGCAAGTACTCCAAATTGGGATGTAAACCAAATAACTAAAACATTCTTTATCAGCTAATATTTCATGCATTCTAACAAAACTGTATGAAAAATGGTCAGATTGTTTTACATTTAGATGGTAGTCCTAAGAAAATGAAGGACAAGGCATGTTTACATCGTAAATAAAAAGCTCACAACTTATGATTTTAAACTACAGAATGCGATATCTGCAATGATTTTTAACACCGTTAGGTGGTTGGCTGTAGTCTACTGGAAACCCTAAACCTATGTTTCTTACTGATCGGTACACATTATATTTTTGAAAGAACTGATGTTTCCCATGAAATTCGAACCCTCATCATGCGAATTCACATTTTGGGCAGTTACCACAAAGTTATTTAGTCTCTTATATTAATGGTGAATTTGCTGCAGATTTTAAAAAATTATTTCCAGTAAAAAGTGTTTTCTTGCTAAAAATGTAGCCCATTGTTTGTTAATTTAATCAAATTTAATTTGACTTTATTTGGCTGCATTGCATATAAATCAATTTCTGTCTTAGAACTGATCCAAACGAACTATATTGATTTATTTTTCTGGTTTATGTCTTAAAAATGTAATGTCTACCATCGAAACAAGATATTGATAATTGTTGTTCATTCAGTCATTTAACCATATGCAACGTAGAACCTAGCTGTTAGTGTTAGATGAAATTATCAAGCCATATTCCATAATACCAAAAGTGGCAACAGTATCAATGGTAATTGAAACAAATCGGTATAGAATGGAAGCAGAGAATAAGACGATTTCGGGACTCAAGATCTGAGGGAAGACAAAAGCTAAATCCATATGATCAAGTGCAACTGGTTCTTAGCCCTGTCGTCCAATATCTTCAACAAATGATATTAATAAATACTGTTATTCAATACTTAGCATGCATCAAATATCACAACGTTTAATCCCAACTGCTAAACACCAGAGAATCGCTGACCATCTTAAGTGATGATTACATCTACTTAAGGCATGTATCAACACAACTTTGGTTAAAAAAATGAAAATGACTACCTTAAGTGTTAACTCAGTTTACAAATAAGGCTTTTTCAATAGTAATTATGAAATATGATAACGGTTTACCAAGTGAATTTTCTTACTTACTCACTTACTTACTTACGCCTGTTACTCCTCTTGAAGGAGCATAGGCCGCCCACCAGCGCTCGCCACCCAACTCTGTCCTGGACAATCCTTTCCAGCTCATTCCAGTTGTTATTCATCCTTTTCATATCTGCTATTTCCCGACGTAATGTGTTCTTTGGCCTTCCTCTTTTCCGCTTCCCTTCAGGATTCCAAGTTAGGACTTGCCTCGTGATGCAGTTTGACAATTTGCGTAACGTATGTCATATCCATTTCCATTGTATTTTCCTAATTTCCTCTTCAGCTGGAAGCTGATTTGTTCTCTCCCACAAAAGGATGTTGCTGATGGTATCCGGCCAATGGATGTTGAGTATATTGCGTAGACAGCTATTTATAAATACTTGTACCATCTTGATGGTGTCTGTTGTAGTTCTCCAAGTTTCAGGTCCGTACAGTAGAACTGCCTTGACGTTCGTATTGAAGATGCTGACTTTGATATTGGTTGAAAGTTGTTTTGAATTCCATATTTTCTTCAATTGTACGAATGCAGTCCTTGCTTCGCCAATCCTAGACTTTACTTCTGCATCCGATTCTCCTTGTTCATCGATGATGCTGACCAGCTACATGAAAGATTCCACATCTTCCAGAGTTTCTCCATTATGTGTGATTGCGTTGGTGTTCTCCGTGTTGTATTTGAGGATCTTGGTTTTTCCTTTGTGTATGTTGAGGCCTACTGATGCAGCAACTGCTGCTACTCTGGTTGTCTTCATCTGCACTTGTCCGTGTATATGCGATTGGAAGGCTAGGTCATCTACGAAATACAAGTCGTCTGATGGATTCTGAGCCGTCCATTGTATTCCGTGTTTTCCCTCAGATGTCTAGGTCTTCATAATCCAGTCGACCATCAGAAGAAAGAGGAAGGGAGAGAGTAGACAGCCTTGTCTCACTTCGGTCCTTACTTGGAATGCATTTGTCAGCTGTCCTCCATGCACGACCTTGCACTGTAGTCCGTCGTGTGAGTTACGGATAATGTTGACAATCTTCTCAAGACCTCCGTAGTGTCGAAGAATTTTCCATATTGTTCTCCTACACTGTCAAACGCCTTTTCATAATCAATGAAGTTGATGTATAGTGACGAGTTCCACTCAACTGATTGTTCGACGATGACCCATGGTGTAGCAATTTGGTCTGTGAACGACCGATCCTTACGGAATCCAGCCTGTTGATCTCGAAGTTGAGCATTTACCGCATTTTTCATCCAGTTCATCAAAACTCTGTTAAAGACGTTCCCTGGTACTGGCAGTAGTGTGATGCCTCTGTAGTTTTCACATTTGCTCAGATCTCCTTTCTTTGAAATGTTGATGAAGTGTCCTTCTTTTCAGTCCATCAGTACTTGTTCCTCCCAAATGTTGAATAGAAGGTGAAGCATGTTTGTAGTTACTTCGATGTCTGACGTCAGAGTTTCAGCTGGTATATTGTCAGGTCCTGCTGTTTTCCCGCTCTTGATTTGTCCGGTGGATTCATTGGAGTTGACCTATTCAGGAGTTCCTCGAAGTATTCTACCCATCTGCCCCGCTGTTTTTGAATTTCAGTGATTGGCCTGCCTTCTTTGTCCTTGACCAGTCTCTCTGGTTTACTATATTTCCCTGATAGTTTCTTCGTTGTATCGTAAAGTTGTTTCATATTTCCTTCCCTTGCAGCTTTTTACACCGTCGTTGCTAGTTCTTCCGCGTACTTCTTTTTTTCGGCTCTAATGCTTTTCTTACTTTGCTTGTTTGCTTCTATGTATTCAGCTTATGCTTGGACTTTCTTTGTTCGTGTTCGGCTGTTATTAATAGCTGTCTTCTTGTTCTTCCCTTCTTTGATCCTATTCAGTGTTTCTATAGAGATCCATTCCTTTTGATGGTGCTTCTTGAGACCCAGAACCTCTTGACACGTCTAAGTTAATGCTTCTTTGATGCATTTCCAGCTGTCCTTTATAGTAGTTTCTTCTTTCAGTAGATCCTGTAGGGCTTGAAACCTGTTGTTGTGAGCTATCTTGAATTCATTGAGTTTGTCAGCA